CAGAACTCGGGGTCAGGACGTCCAGCCCCCGGGGGGCGCCCGCCCACCGGGCCCCACACGGCCCACTGACCCCAGGCTCGCTTTCCTGGGGACCAGCCTCCTGCTGGTCACACAGGGACACAGGGGCCAGAGGGCTGGCCCGGGCCCCGAGCTCCGCACCCCGTAGCTGCTCTGGCCCAAAGCGCAAGGCACCAGCACCTCAGAACTCCGTTTGGGGCCCACTGCCCACCTCCCCAAGGGGTGTGAGGAGCCCGGGTCCAGGGGTTTGCCCAGCATGGGACCAGCCGCCCTGCCCCTCTGTGGTGCCCATAAGGCCGCTGGAGGCAGCCACTTGTCAGGTGGTCGGCCCTGGGGTGGATGCAGAAAGGACAGATGCAGGCTGTCATCCACAGGGCACCCTGACCTTCAGGGCCAGAGGGGCCAGGGGCGGGGGGGAGGCTGGCCCTGGCTCCCCCACACCCACCCGCACTCTGAACCTTAACCCCGGCCAGGCGCAAGCTTCCAGGAGCAGGGGAGGGGGACGAAGGCTCAGACCAGCATTGCAGGCGGGCCCAGCCCACCCCCAGGCTGGACTGAGGACCCCGCTCCACCCGGAGCTGCCCCCCGTCTCCCTCCTCCAGCCCCCCCACAGGCAGAGGGTCGGACAGAGGGTCAGCCAGGAGCTACAGGAGGAAGACGGGCCCAGGGCGGCTCTGGGAGGCTCCTCCGAGGGGGAGGCAGGGAAGTGGCCCTTCCGGAACAGCCGGGCGACCCGAGGAAGCGAGGAGAGGGCTGCCCCGGGCTGCCGGGCAGCGGAGTGGGGCCCGGACCCGCCTCCTGCCTGGTGAGAGGCCAGCACGCAGCCCCCCCGCCGCCCAGGAAGAGCCTGTGTCATCCCCCCTCCATGTCTAGGGGCACCTCCAGCCCCACTGGGAGTTGCTCCAATTCCCCCCACAACTCACTGAAACCCCCCATTTCCCACCAGCCCCCTCCTGGGTCGCCCCAAAGCCCAGCTCGCGGGAAGAGTCCGCATGTCTGTGGGGAGCAAACCCACAGAGCGTCGGCAGGGACCGCCCCTCCGGGCCGACCCCTGACCCCCAGCCCCTTCAGAAGGCCCGCACCCTGACCAACGACCGAAATTCGCCTGGGCATCACAGGGCGCATGTGTCAGAGCCTGGCCGGCGGGCGGACGCGCCAGTGACGGGGGCAGGGGCCCAGGCATGTCCCCGGCCGGCGCCCAACCGAACATTCAGTCAACAAACGTTAGCCAAGGTCAAGGTCAGTCCCAGGGGGAGAGTGTTTCTGCACGGCTGCCACACGCCGCCCGCCACACAAGGGGGAACGGGCCAGGGTGGGGTGGGGGGTCCCCAGCCCAAGAGGCCAGGCAGCCAGAGCGGGGGCTGCCGCAGAGGAGGCGGGGCTCCCAGGGAACACGGGGGGGGGGCAGCCTTGGGGGGAGGGGGGGCTGAGAAGGCAGGCCCCGGCAGGCCGTCCCCCACAGCCGCCCGAGCGAGTTCTCAGAACACACGGCTGACCACATCCTTGGCCCTGCTCTGAGCTCTGCAGCCCCCAGGCCTGGCCGCCGCTCTCCGCGCCCACCGGAGCTGCTGCAGCAGCCGCACACTCCTGGGGAGCGGCGCAGACCCCACAAAACCCAGGCTCCTCTGACCGGCCTCTGGGCCCCGAGGAGATGGGGAGGGGGCGCCCTCACCCTGTCCTCCAGTGCGCAGGGGGCCTGCAGCGTGGCCCCGGCACTGGGAGAGGGGCAGGCCCGGGAGACAAGGGGTGAGGGGCTTGGCGGCCCACCCTGTCCTGGGGCAGGAAGGAGGGGCCCCACTCTGCAGTGGACGGGGGGGGCTGCCCTTGGCTGCTGTTCAAACACTTGGGGCCCCCGGGGATCGGGGTGTGTGTGGCTCTCCCCCAGCCCGGGCCCAGGTGGCCACAGGGCCAGGCCCAGCAGCCCTGCCCTGCCCTGCCCTGCCCTCAGGAGCCCGCAGGCGGTGCCCCGGGCCACCGGTGAGCCAGGCCTTGGCCCGGCCCCAGCGTCCTCACTGCCTTCCAGGAAAGTGGGCAGGGAGGTGGCGGCAGCTGTCCCGCCCCCGGGGCGCAGGCAGGCAGCCACTCCGCGGCCTGGGGCCTTGCCGGCCCGCACCCAGGGGTCCTTGCAGGCTGCTCCCCGAACGCCAGACGCCCGGGGCCAGCCCCGAGCACTCACCTCGCTTGTGCAGCCAGCCCTCCTTGACGATCGCCACGTCGGCCATGGTGCCCGGGCGGCGCGCTCACTCCGCTCGCTGCTCCCCGAGCGGGAGGCTCTCCCCAGGCCCAGCGGCGTCCACAGCCTCTGGGGGCAGCAGAGGGGCACGTGAGGCCGTGTCCCGCTCGGGGCCCCTCCTCCGACCCTCTGGGGAGTCCACCCAGGCTCTCAGCCTGTGCCCGCGCGGCCCTCAGAGCCCCTCGCTGCTTCCCCACCGCGGCACCTGCTGCGGGCTCTCGTCACTGGCACGGCCCCCCACGCCCCTTGCTGCCTCACGGCCACGTGCCCAGGCCTCTGGACAAACCTCCCCCATTCCCCAAAGGCCCTCCCAGCACGGCCCAGCCCCCTGACCTGTGGACCCGCAGACGCCACCCCCTCCAGGCAGCCCTCCACCTCCCCACCCCTCAGTGAGGATGCCTGTTCTCCCTCCCCACGGTGTCCCACCCGCAGGCCGGGGTCCCCGGCAGGGCGCAGGGCTCCACCCCCGGCCTCAGGCTGGGAGAGGAGGAAATCAAGGAGTGAAGACAGCAGGGCCAGGAGTGCTGGTGGCGGGCACCATGGGTGCCCTCCAGGGCACTGTGAACCTCCCCCCCCCCCCAGGAAACCCCAGCCTCCTCCCAAACCACGGTGCCCCCGCCAGCCTGAATCTCGTTCATTCATTCCGCCCGGCACTTCTGGCGTTGCCGGCGCGGGGCTGGGGACAAAGGGAGGCTCAGACGGGCCGTCTGGGAGCAGCACCCAGTCTGGGGCGGCCGCAGGCCCACAGCCACAGCATTCAGGAGGCGAGCGACAGGGCGCTGTCCCGCCGGCTGCCTCTCCCCAGCAGACACTCTGGCCATTCATCACACACGCCGCCCCCTCCGCTGCCCGGCTGGTCGAGCTCCTAGGCATCCCTCAAAACCTGGCCTGGGCACCCCAGCCTCGACGGGCGCCCCAGAGGGCAGGCCCTGGGACACTCCTCCCCGGGGTCCCGGGCCAGGCAGGGACCGCCGAGGACGCCCGGGGTGGACCCACACGTGGGTCCTCAGCCTCTCTCCCCGGCAGCACGCTGCAGGAGCCGGGCACCGGGAGAAGGCCGCGCAGCAGTGCCCGAGGCCCCTGTGCCCGCCCGGACGGGGCAGACACACGTGGCCCAAGGAAGCGCCGGCGTGCTCAGCAGGCCCGTGGGCAGCCACCGGCAGGTAGCGTGAGCCGGGGCTCGGAGCCCCGAGTGCGGGGCACGGGCTCTGGTGACACTGGAGTGGGCGTGGCCTGCAGGCAGCAGGCCGGGCTCAGAGGCCTCCGGTTGTCCCCCTACCCCCACCCGGGCCTGAGCGGGGCCCCGCTGCTGACAGAGTCCGACAGCTGTCGAGAGCCCGTGTGTAAAAATACATCTGTGCACACACAGGGCGGTGTGCTTGTGCACACCCGGGCACGGCCAGTGCTCCTGCCCGCCTCTCCACGACGCAGGGCGGCAGGGCCGAGGGGGCCCGCTGCCTGCAGCCCCGGGACTGAGGGCCTCCTCAGTCACCGTGTTCAGCCACTATTGTTGTCACGAAACCCCAGCAGCTGGGAGCACAGTCTGTGCCCCAGAAGGGCCCCTGCCCCCCAAACGCTGGCTTGTGGACTGCACGCTCGGCTGCTGGCGGGGCCGGGAACCAAGCCCTCCCCCAGGCACCGGCCTCGGCCTAGGCCAGGGGTTCAGAGCGCTGGGAGGGGCCTGGAGCCAGGCAGGCCCCAGAGGGAAGGTGAGGGCCCTCTGGCCGCAGAGCACAGGCCTGTGCCCCGGCTCCGACCACCCCACCCCGATCTGGGATCCGAGGCCCAGCCACCCTCCAGGCCCCAGCCTCTGCGCGGCGCGGGCAGCACCTCCGGAGCCCACCAAGTTCAGGAAGCAGTTTCAGGACCCGGGAGGGCGCGTCCTCCTTCGTGGACTACTGGGCACCACAAACAACTTTTTGTCTGTGGCAAGACGAGGTCTCCTTCCAAGGGCCCACCCACAAACTTGAACGAGGGCGGGGGCCAGCCTCTTCCTAAGGCCCCTGAGCGCCTCCGGCACCCCGGCCAGCTCTGGCCCGGTGCCCAGAGAGCGCCCGCGGGGCCCCGCCGCAGGGGCGCCCCCTGCCCCAGCCCAGCCGGCCGCGGCCGCGCCCCTCCGCCCCATCCCGGGCCTCGCCAGCCGGCGGGCCGTTTCCCCAAGGTCAAGAGGGAGGCCGGGGCCGGCCGGCACCCCCGGCCCGCGCGGCCCCCGCCCTCCCCGCCCAGGCCGCGCTCGGCCACTTCCTGCTCCCGCGCCTCCATTCCGGCTGCGCGGCCCGCGCCCGGCCCCGGCGGCCGGGAACAAAGCAGCGTCGCGGGGAGGAAATCCGGGCCCCGGCGGCGGCCGCGGCGGGCGGGACTCACCGGGCGCCGCGTCCGGGCGAGCGCGGGCCTAGCCGGGCCGCGGCCTCTGGCGCCCGCCGCTCCGCATCCTCGCGGGCAGGGCCGGGGGCGGGCTGGGCGGCGCGAACCCGCGGCGGGCGCTATCGGGCGGGCCTCGCGCGGGGCCCGGTGCTCGTGCGCGGCCGCGCTCGCGTTCTCCGGTGCCTGCTGCGCGCGCGCTGGGCCGGCCGCTGCTCCGTCCCGCCGCCGCCGCCGGCCCGCCCCGTCCCCGCCCCGCGCGCCCCGCCCGGCCGCCCGCCCACATCCGCCTCCGCCGCCGGGCCCCCCCGCCCGGACGGGGAGGGCGGGGACCCGGGTGGGGGGCGGCCGACCCGGCGTGCGCCGCCGGGCCTGTCCCGGGCCGGTCCCCGGCCACGCCCTCCCTGGACTCAGTTTCCCAGTTTGTCCCGCGAGCCGCACGACTCCGCCCCGCTCTGGCGCGACCAGAACGAATCCCGCCTCTGCCTCCCAGAGTTGGGGGTGGGGTGCCGCAGGCTGCAAAGTAGTTTGACACCAAATGCGCCCCAAGGGGTAGCCCCCGCTGCGGGCCAGGGACGGAGCGGCCGGAGCTGTCGGGAGAGACCCCGTCTGAGGACCCTGCGCCGCGGTGCGGTGGCGGGGACGGTCGGCTGGGGCGGGCCTGCGAGGCCGGCGGCCGCATTGCGGACCTGAGAGGGGAGGCGGTGGAGGCCGCGGTCCGAGTGCCGAAGGTCGGTCTCAGAAGCGACCGGGGTCTGAGCCCTCGGTAGTGCGGACGGGGGCGGGGGGGGCTTCCGAGAGCTCCCCCTCCCCCAGGAGGAAGATACCGACACGCGGCGGCTACAGCAGTGGAAGGGGGCTCCTTCGCAGGGTGACAGGGAGGAGGGCCCAGGGACCCGCGGAGGGGCGCCGGCTCGGCCTGGAGTGCTGTGCTGAGAGGGGCGCAGAGGCCCGGAGCCGGGCCGGGGCGAGCTGCGGACGGAGGGCTGTGACAGCCGAGGCCGCCTGGGATTTGCCCTAGACTCAACGGGCCCTGAGCACCCGTCGGGGGCAGCTGAGGGACGCGAGGCAGAGGGTCCCTAACCCCCTCCCCGTACAAGTCCCGGGGCTCTGCAGAGGTGGCCCCACCCCTGACCCCCAGCCCTGCCGCCCCCAAGCCTCCAGTTTCTCCTATGGCTGCCCCTCCCCCCAGCCCCGGGCCTCTGAGTTGATAGTAACCCTTTTGTATGAGGAAGACCGCGGAGCTTTATTTTCCTGGAGTTGGTGCGTGTGGGGGGGCATTTTTGTGCTTCATCAAGGGTCAGAGTTCAGCCTAGGAGGACAGACACTTCCTCTGGGTCAGAGGCAGGTGCGGCCGGCAAGCCCTCTGCACCACGTCCATGGAGGAAACGGAGGCTCAGTGGCCGTATTTGCAGGGAAGGACTCTCCCCAGCTCAGGGGCACATGCTGCTGGGGTGGGGACTCCCAATCCCGGCCTCTCCTCTGGGCCCCTCGGGCCCCACCCCACCCCACCCCAACCCAGGGCAGCTGTCCCAGCTGACTGTGTGCCCTGAGGCAGCCCCTGCCTCTGGGGCCAAGGGCCAGGCTGGACCAGACATCTGACCTAAAGGTCACCCCCCGAATATCCGACCTCTGTCTATGGCTCGCCGCCCAGACCTCCCATGTGGGTCCCCGGGGCCCCTTCTGGGCACATCCCAGGAGAGGTTTCATACCCACCCCTCCTCCTGGGCTCCACAGCACTTTAAGGAGAATGGGGGGGGGGGGCTGGCAGGCAGAGGAGGAGAGGATGGGGTGGGGTGGGGTGGGGTGGCAGCGAGTGGCCAAGGGGGGCCAGGAGGGCGCCCTCTCCTGAAAGATGCAGGGATGGACTCTCCAGGCCTCTCAGGCTTGCTAACGTTGGAGGAACAGCACCTTGGCGGGGAGGCTGCCCTGAGGTGGCCCCAACCTTCCAGCCCACTGGCCACTGGCCCCTCACCAGGAGGCCTCCCTGCTGGCGCCTGGCAGGTGCCAGGACCCACCGAGAGCCCCAACCCCTCCGTGGCCAGCCCCTCCTCCACGGGCCTCCTGGGGGAAAAGCAGAGCCCTGTGGCAGAGACACCCCCAAAGACACCCCCTTCTGGCCGGCAGACAGCGAGGAGGAGAGGGCCCAGGCTGTCGCCGGCCAGCCAGAGGCTGCTAGTGCTGCTGCTGCAGCCACAGGGGAGCCCCTGGGCCAGATGTTTCCGGCAAAAACTGCGGCCCCTCCAGGAGCTCAGGCCCCTCCAGCCCTGTCACCTTCTGCAGCTGCCGGCCCTCAGGCAGGACTCGTGGCCGGGCGCCCCGGGCTGCCTCGTCTCTGCAGCAGCTGCTGGGCGGGACTCCAGGCCAGCTCCCAGGCCAGCTGGCCACCTGGCCGGCGGCACCGGGGAGGCGTCGTCCGAACCGCTGCGTCTTCCCAGTGCCTGAGCCCTTGTTGGGCATCTAGACCTGCGGTCTCTGACGGTGCCCAGGTCCCGAGTGCCATAGTGGAGCCGCCTGGGATGGCCCCTCCTGGGGGCGGGAGGACATACCTCGGGCCTTGTGGCTCCAGAGGCTCAGAAGGCCTCCCTCACAGGGCTGCCCCTCCGCCACTGGCCTGCCCCTCCCTGGGCTGGCCTCCCCGGCCCACCCCGGCTCTCGCTGGCAGCAGCCTAGTCTGCACCAGCCCCTCTCTGGGCCCCACAGCCCCTGTCCAGGTGCCCAAGGAGCGCTCTGCCCACCAGCCGGGCAGGGTGCTCTGCCTGCCCCAGGGCCCCTCCCCAGCTAGAGCCCCGCATGCAGGCCTGGCCTCCCCTCCCTGCCTCCTGGGGCCCCGGGCCCAGAGGCCCCATGGTGCAGTGGGAGCAACCAGCCCCCCTTCGCTCAGGCGACGGGCACCGTCACACCACACAGACGGAGCTCCAGAGAAGGCTAGGGTCACAAGGGGGGGACGAGGGCTTGGGGTGGCCTTAGCTGGGTGGCCAGGAAAGACCGCTCTCGGGTGCCCACTGGTACAGACGGGAAAGGCCTACAAAGAGACCGAGGCTCAGGGAAACCGAGGGTCCCAGCCGAGGTGGGCTGGGGCTGGGGCCGGGCCAGGGCTCCGAGAAGGCCAGACCCCAAGGGCATGGTCCCATCTGGGCTCAGCCAGAGGGAAGAGCATTCAGTCCCCTGCAGGGGGCTGGGGCCAGGGCTGGCTGGGCCCTGCTCGGGGCGTGTCCCCAGGAGCACAGGGCAGGGGGCGTCTCGCTGGCAGGTGACGTGGGAGTGTGGGTCCAGGCCCTGGATGCCGGGTTTAGGAAACGAGATTGAAGGACGTCTGGGCCGATCTGAGTTTCAGACAAGGAGTCGTTTTCCAGCGCGAGAGAGGTCTTTGTCTTCCCACAGGGTGTAGGCCCTAACGGAGGGGGTCCCCGGGCGGGGGGCGCCTCAGGCCCCCAGCCTGTGGCGTTGGACTGGGACAGCTGCCCCTCAAGCCACAGGCATCTCGGCCTCCTCTGGGGTGTCAAGGACAATGGGTGGAGGGCTCCCCACTCCTCCTGCCAGCTGGGGTCCCACCCTTTGTAATCCAGCCCCTCCCCCAGCAGGACTAGTGAACCCCCCTCTGAATCCCTGCCCCCCCCCTCCATCAAGGCCTCCTTTCCACCACCTCTCCTGGCCGGGGTCCCCCTCCCAACCCACCCTCCATGGGGGCTGTGGGGAAGTGCGGGGGTGGGGGTGGGGATTCAGAGGAGACTTCAGGATTCGAACTGGGTTCGGAGACCTGCCCCCAACGTGGCGGAGGGCTCCTTACCTAACACCCCCACCCAAACGGGTGCAATGACCCCAGCATCGAACTGGCGGGCTGCTGGGGGGCAGTGGTCCCCGGAGGCCGGAGGCTGCTCCCCCAGGGCGGGCCCTTTGGTCACGCCCCCCCCAAACATTCCACCGCCCACCGCGGGGGCACCTCCCCCAAATCGCGTCTGTTTCTCTCCGGGCCCCTCCCCCAGCAGGACTGTCGGTCCCCCCCTCCTCGGAGCCCGGGAACCCCCTGCACCCGCACCAGCCCTGGCCGCCCACGTGCCTCCTCCGCCCGCACACGTGCCTCCTCCGCCCGCACACTTTCCCACCTGCTCTGGGCTCTGGGGGCATCTGTCCCCCGACCCCGCCGTGTCTGCTGGACCTGCCCCAGCCTCAGACACACGACTCTGCAGATGCCGAGCTGGGGCGCCCCCGCGGCAAGGGTGGCAGTCCCCGCCCGGTTCTGGACTCCAAGGTCGAGGTTCCACGTGAGTGTAAGAGGGTCCCGGCTAAATTAAATGTAAACAGTGGCTTTCAGCGAAAAGGGAGTGTCATCTTTTCTAAATTTATGATCCCCACACACGCCACCCCCCCCCCAGCCCGGAGCCGGCTCCCCGCGTGGTGGCAGGAGGCCAGGGTCCCGACTGCGCCCGCGGGTGACCGCCGCAGCGCGGGCCGGGAGGCAAGCCGGTCCCGGAAGGGGTCCCTTAGCAGACGGGCGCTGTGGGAGCCCCGTGGCGGGGGGGGGGGGGGAACGCCGAGGCGGAGGCGGCAAGTATCGCGAGAGAGCCCCCTCTCCCGCCGCGCCCCGCACCCCCTCCCGCCCCAGCGCCCCAGCTGGCGGCACGCGGGGCCCAGGCGGGCGGGGCGGACAGGGAAGGGGTGGCGAGGGTGACCTCAGCGGTTCCGCCGCTCCGGGAAGTCGACTCGGCCCGCCCCCTCCAGCCCCCGCCCCGAGTTTCGCTCTCTCCGGGGCGGGGCGAGCGGCAGGCGGCGCCGGGCCGGCCAAGTTGGAGGGCGCCCCGCCCGGCGCCCCGCCGTCCTCGCGCCCTCCCCGCCGGGGCGCGCTGCCCGTAACTCCGCGCGTCGGGGCCGCACCGGGGAGGGCGCGCGGCGCGGCGGCCGGAGAGGAGCGGGGGCGGCGGAGGTGAGCGCGGGGGGCGGGGGCCCGGCTTTGCCCGCCCCCCGCCCGCCGGCCCGCTCCCCGCGGCCGCGCTGCCATAAATGGGTCCCGCAGCGGCGGCGGCGGCATCTGGCGGGCCGGGCGGCAGCTGGAGGCGCGGACCGGGGGCGGCGACTCGGGCGTCGGGGGACGCGGCGGGCGGCCGCGGCAAAGTGAAGTTCGGGGGCTCAGGAGCCGACAGGGTCGCCCCGGCGGGGACGCGCGCAGGTCCGCGCGGCTCGTGCCCCCTCCGCCCGCGCCCCGGGACCCGCCCCCGCAGCGGAGCGGCTTCTGTTTACTTTCGGTCGAGTTTTTCCTGCTCCGGGAAGGTGCCCGGGGCGGCTCCGGGCGGGCGGTTACGCGCGGCGCCCCGCGCCCCTCTGCCGGCGCTGCCCGCACCCGCGAAGGGCGCGTCGGGCCGCCGGGACAGCGGCGGCCGGGGCGTCCCGGGGCGCGCTCACGGGCGTCCGCTTGTGCCCAGGTGATGACGGCGGCGGCATGGAGTTCCCGGAGCACGGCGGGCGGCTGCTGGGCCGCCTGAGGCAGCAGCGCGAGCTCGGCTTCCTCTGCGACTGCACCGTGCTGGTGGGCGACGCGCGCTTCCCGGCCCACCGCGCCGTGCTGGCCGCGTGCAGCGTCTACTTCCATCTTTTCTACAGGGACCGGCCCGCGGGCAGCCGCGACGCGGTGCGGCTCAACGGCGACATCGTCACGGCGCCTGCTTTCGGCCGCCTGCTGGACTTCATGTACGAGGGCCGCCTGGACCTGCGCGGCCTGCCTGTCGAGGACGTCCTGGCCGCCGCCAGCTACCTGCACATGTACGACATCGTCAAGGTCTGCAAGGGCCGGCTCCGGGGGGAGGGCCGCGCGCTGCCTCCGGAGACCCCCGCCGCCGGCGCCGAGCCGCCGAGCCAGCGCCCGTGCCCGCTGCCCGCCTGGGTCCCCGAGCTCTGCCCGGCCGCCCAGAAGGTCAGGCTGCCCGGGGCCGGCGTCAAGGCTGCCCTCCCCCCACGAGCACCGGGGCCTCCTCCCTGCCAGGCCCCAGGAGAGCCGGACGGGGCCCTGGACCTGTCGCTGAAGCCCGAGCGGAGGAGGGAGCCAGTCCGCCCGCCCTCCTGCGTCCTCCGGACACCGCCCTGCAGGCAGATGCAGCCGGGGGCGCGGCCACCAGTGAAGGACGAGCGGGACTCGCTGTGGGAACGGGACAGCTTTGGCCCTCTGAGCCCCCACAGTCCCCTGCAGCCACCCTGCGCTCCGGCAGCGCGGCGCCTGGCGGGGGCCTCGGAGCCGCTGCCCGCCAGTGGGGTGGGCAGCCGGGAGCCGGCGCTGGACGCGGAGCGGAGCGCCGTCGCGGACGAGCTGGCGCGCGGCGGCCGCCGCCTCCGCATGTGCCCGCTGTGCAGCAAGCTGTTCCCCAGCGCCCGCGTGTTGCAGCTGCACCTCAGCGCCCACTTTCGAGAGCGGGACGGCGCTCGAGCCCGGCTGTCGCCCGACGGCGCCGCGCCCACCTGCCCGCTCTGCGGGAAGACCTTCTCCTGCGCGTACACGCTGAAGCGGCACGAGCGCACGCACTCGGGCGAGAAGCCCTACACGTGCGTGCAGTGCGGCAAGAGCTTCCAGTACTCGCACAACCTGAGCCGCCACGCCGTGGTGCACACCCGCGAGAAGCCGCACGCCTGCCGCTGGTGCGAGCGCCGCTTCACGCAGTCGGGGGACCTGTACCGCCACGTCCGCAAGTTCCACTGCGGCCCGGTGTGAGGCGTGCGCCGCGGCGGGGTGGCGGTGGGCGGTGGGAGGGACCCAGAGCGGGCGGGGTGGAAGTCCCTGAGGCTGGGTCCGCCTGCCAGGAAGAGCCCCCCTGCGCCCCAGAAAGGTGGCCTCGGACTCAGAGTGGCTCTGCAGCCCCCCTCCTTGCCCCCAGACCCCACCTTGTGCCCCAACTGCGACTCTACCTTCCTCTCCAGGTGGTTCTGGGGCTGTCTCAAGGTCCCTCGAGCTTGGCTCACCCGCCTCGGCGGGGGACAGCCCCTCCGTCCTACCTTGGGGGCTTCCCTGGCCACCTTGCTGTCATGTTCAGGGGACCCTGGTGAGCCTTGCTCCACCCGGTGAAGGGTGCAGGTCACAGAAGTTGTGGGTATGAGAGCCCAGGGTGGGGGGCGGCTAGGGCTCAGCAGAGCCATCGGGGCAGAGATGGTGCCGCAGGGGGTGCAGTCCCCGCAGGGACGTCTGGGCAGCAGGAGCAGAACCGTCCAGAAGCTGGATGGCTGTGGAGTCCCCGGCAGCGGTGGCAGGCGGCCGTGGTCCTGGCCCCACCATAACGCAGCCGGAAAAAGTCACAATTTAGAAACAATTTTCTGGATGCTGAGCCTCCCGAGGAAGTCAGATGCCCACCGATGGCGGTGGGCCCGTGAGCGATGGGCCGTGCCACTTCCCTGCCTGGACGCAGCGTCCAGGCGCCTCTGAGCTTCCCCAGGGTGGCCGCCGCTGGGCTCGGCGGGGCTGGCCCTGCAGGTCACCGGTCCGTGCCTGGGGCTGCCGCTCGCTCCCGGAGCGGGGGCCGGGGCTGCCCTCCGCCCGAGCGCAGGGCTTAGAGCCGCTCCCGTCCCAGAATGGGGTCCCCTTCTCCGAGGTGGGACCTGCCCAAAGCCCGCTGTGGTGGCGCAGCCCCCGCCCCCCACGCACGGCCCCGGGCAGCCGAAGCTGCTGGAACGTGGCAGGCACCGTACTGGCGTCTTGCTGGGGCCGCCCTGCCCTGCCTGCCGGCCCGCGGAGCAACCTTGCTGCTGGAACCTCTGGCTGTGGCGGAGGGGGGGCGGCAGCCCCAGGCTGTGGGGCTGGTGCAGGTGGCAGGGCCCCGGGGGCCCTGGTGCCCCTGACCCCAGGGGCTGTCTCTGCTGTGACCAGACGTGGGACCAGGACAGAGTCCGGCCAGGTTTACGTACTCTTTCCTTCTCCTGACGATACTTGATGTCGTATTTATTTGGCTCCCCGGCGCGGAGGGAAGGGCCTTCCCAGCAGGTGGACAGGGGGCTCAGGACCCCACAGGCGTGCGGCCCTCGTGTGTGGCTGCCCCTCCTGATGGCCGGGGCTCGGAAGCCCAGCGGAGAGCTGGGGGCAGGGGCCCTGTGTGTGTGTGCGTGTGCGAGCCCGAGTGTGTCCGGCAGACGGGAGGCCCGGGCTGTGGCAGGGCCTGGTTTTCCCCAGGGGTTTCCACGGGGGAGAAACGTACTTTCCTGGGGCGGGAGGTCGGCCCGGGCGCCCGACACTGGGCCCATTGTCTTCTGCGAGCGGCCGCCGCGGCGTGAACACGGAGGAGAGGGCTCTCCGTCTGGGAGCGTGGGAGGCCCAGGTGCCCCGTGTGTACTCGGGTGCGGAGCGGAGCCTGCGGCAGAGGCGTGTGCGAGGGAGGTCCGAGTGTGGAGGGGGGGGCCTGCGCCCAGCCCCCTGCCTCCCTTCTGCCCCCCACCCCAGGCAGGGGCTTCGGCCCGGGGTGACCCAGAGGACAGTCCCTCCGGCTGATGGTTTGGCGGGAGGTTTTGTCTGCACCCACCACCTGTCTTCCTGTGTTTGCACCCTTGTCTCCGTGGTGACAGCCGTTAATAAAGCCCCCCAGGTGGAGATGCCGGATGATTCCGGGCTCCAGAGTGTGTGTGTGTGTCTCCAAGCGTGGCGAGGGGGGGCTCGGGCACCAACCAGACGGGCTGGGGTGGTGGGGGGTGTCCCAGGTGCCCCCCCCTGCGGTCCCCCACGTGAGAGTGGGCTGGGGCAGGGCTGCAGTCTGCCGGCATACCCCTTTCCCCAGGCTGTCCCCCACCCCACCCCCAGTTGTCCCAGGGAGGCAGGTCAGTGCCAGCCTGGAGCCCTGGTGACTTCTCGCCCCGAGGTGTGGGGGGCCTTGCTGGGGGGCTGGGGCCCTGGGGCTTGGATCTGAAGCAGGGGTCCTGGGGCTCCTGCTCCTGCCTTCCAAACGCCGCCCCAACTCCCCCGCCCCCTGCCTGCACTCCCCCACACCCGCTCCCCTCCTCCTGTACCTCACTTGCCCCCTGGCTCCCTCATGGTGGGACTGGGGCCCCCGTGGCCTGCGTTTGGGGAGAGGTGGGCAAGGCTTGGAAGGGGCCGTGCCTGCTGCCCCGCCCCCTCCACCGTGGGCCTGCCTGGCCCCGAGGAGGCCTGGGCGGGGCAGATGGGCAGCCGCCCTCCTGTGTGGGCCAAGCCCAGCCCTGGCCAGAGTGTCCTCCAGCGGGGGACTCAAAGGCAGGATTGGGGGGCCGTGCTCGCCTAGGGGTCCTCAGAGGTCATCCTCAGAGGACGAGCTGAGCTGGCACCAAAGGGCACCCCAGTCCTGACCCCAAAGGCAGCCCTTGCTTCTGGAGCTCGGGCCGGCACCTCCCTTGCTGGCCGGCCTGCCTCCCCTGGAGCCCCTGTGTCCGGGCTCCCAGTCGGGCCGGTGACTCAGCCTGGCCTTCCCGGAACTGGGGGGAGGCTGTCGTCAGCCAACCCGACGGGGGGGCAGGCGGTGAAGAGGCTCCTTGAGGGGAGGGGGCTTCCAGGGGCTCAGCCCCGCCTCGCCGGGCTGGCACGCAGCTTGCTGCCGGAGCCCTGCTCTGGGCAGGGTGACCCTCCTCCCTGGACGCCGCCCGTGCGACCCCTGGTGGCCTGGTAAACTGAGGCGGGAAGGGCCTGGCTCCAGCCCACGGTCCCCAAACCGGCGGGTGGTAAACCCGGGGCTCCCTTCCCCCAACGCCAGGCCTTCTGGCTGCTGCCTGGCCAGACTGGCACCCCTGTCTCGGCCGGCCCTCCCGGGGTGGTGGCACTGGGGGGCAGCCCGGAAGACCCCCACAGGGACGGCAGGGTGGGGGAAGAGGGGTCCCGAAGCCGCCCCGGCCCAGGGTGGGCTCTGGGGAGGCGACGGAGCAGGGGCGGTGCAGGCTGAGGGCCAGCCACCACAACGGTGACAGGCAGGTGGGTGAGGGGCCAGGGTGAGCGGGGTGGTGTGGGGCAGTGCCGGTGGACAAGCCTGGGGACAGCCGGTGGGAGGGCTGGGCTGTTCCAGACCGCAGGGGCCGGCATGGGCAGAAAGTGCCCCCTGCGGAGGCAGCCAGCTGGGGACAGAGGCAGCTCAGACGGACGGGGCTGAGTGCCGGTCTGCCCGCCCACCGCGGTGGCCCTGCAGGGAGGCCCGTGTCGGGGGAACCCATAGAACTCTGGGGGCCGGGGCCCTGTGGGAGCGGGACCCGCCTCCTCGGGCCGGACCGTGCCCTGGCCTTCAGCAGACCCCTCGGCCAGCTCCAGACTCAGGGCCTGGACCCAGTGCCACCCTGAGTGAGTGGAGGGGGTGGGGGGACCCACACACCTAAGGCAATTCTCCAGCTCCAGCAGGTCCCACGGGGCAAGGGGTCCATCCCACAGGACGGCCTCACCCCCTGGTCCCCTGGTGTGGACACTGGTCACACACTCAGGGGGTCGCCTGTGCTTCTGACCAGGTAGCAGGCGGCAGGCAGGAGGGTCCGGGAACCCCTGTTTGGGTCGATCAGTTCGCTGGAGCAGCTCACTGGACTCGGGAACAGGGTCCCGCCAGCTCACAGGGCTGTGACCAAAGGTCCTGACTGGGGGACAGCCAGGGGCCGAGGTGGCCAGGCAGGTGCGGGAAGGGCACCCGGAGCCTCCACGCCCACTCCAGGTGCCCACTCCAGGTCGCCAGGCGTCCCGCAGCCTGAAGCTCTCCGAATGCCTTCCTTTAGGCTTTTTAAAAAAATATTTGATTTTTAGAGGGGAAAGGAGGGAGAAAGAGAGGGAGTGAAACATCAGTGTGTGGTTGTCTCTTGTGCGCCCCCTACTGGGGACCTGGCCCACAACCCAGCATGTGTGCTGACTGGGAATTGAACCGTTGACTCTTTGGTTCCCAGGCTGGCACTCAATCCACTGGGCCACCCCAGCCAGGGCTCCTCTGGGGTTTTTATGGAGCCTTCACTGCACAGCACCATCGAAGAACTCATTGGCAACTGACTCAACCCCAGCCCCATTCCCCCTTCCTGGAGGCTGGGGGAGGGGACGGAAGTTCCAGCCCTGTGATCACAGGGCTGGCTCCCTTGGCCGCCAGCCCTTCCCCCGTGACCCGGGTCCTTGCAGGTCATGTCACTCACAAACGGAAGACGCCTCTGTCGCTCACTCTCCCCCCAGGAGACCCCCAGGGCGCCCGAGCCTCACGTGGGGGCGGGGGGACCGAGTGTGCCCTCGGCACTAGACGCCGCCGCGGCTCTAGTCTCGCCGGTCTGCTCCCCGGGGGCTTGTGCAGGTCTGCGGGGGCGGCCGCGGCGGTGCCGGGCCAACGCTGGGCCCCATCCCCGTCCTGGAGCCCGAGTCCGGGGTCGGGTGGAGCAGGGCTGGTCCGCCGAGGCCTCCCACCTGGGTGAGTGGACGGCCGCCCCCTCCGGGGCCTCACGGGGCCGCCCCTCCGTGTGTCCGGGTGCTGCTCTCTTCCTGGAGGGCCACCAGCCAGACCGAACGAAAGGGACCTCGTTTCAACGTGACGGCTTCTGCAGAGACCCAGTTTCCAGGGGAGTCGCACTCGGGGGTGCGGGAGGTTAGGGCCTCACCAGAGCAATGTGGGGGGACCCTTGGCGTTTGGGGGGGGGCACCCAGACCCCAGCCTGGCTCCGCCCACACCTGGGCCGGCCTGCGGCTCTCTGCTCAGCAAGGTTTAAGGACAGTTCCGTCTCCGCCCTGTGTGTGCTGGGCAGCCCACAGGCAGCTGGGCACAGCTGACGGCCCCCAGGCCACCTGATGTTGAGAGACACAGCTCCTTGGGGGGGTCCCCCCTCCTCTAGAGCCCCCAACCCTTGCTCTGTTCTGCCTATGCCCTCCAAGGTGGCCTGCCGCTCCCTGGGCCTTACCCTGTCGCCCACTGCACCCCAGGGCTTCGCCTGGCCACCCCTCCCCAACTCTGCCTCCCCTGCAGAGACCCCGTCCAGCTTTCTCCTCTGCCGCCAACTGGGGCCAGGACCGGAGGCGGAGACACTTCTGCCCGGCTTGCGGGCCACACCCCAGCTCTGTGAGGCTCCTGCCTGGTGGGCGGACCACCCTCACTCCCCTCACCCGCCCACCTCTCAGAGGCCCCAGCTCCAGGCTCTGCGTCCGCCACCCCCCCTCCCCCTCCCCCTCCCCCTCCAGTCCTGGAGGCCGAGGGCTGGGATGCACCACGTCTGCGGGAAGATGCACCCACCCCTGCCCTGGGCTCCTGGCCGCCCCTCCGCACCCCTCCACCCCACCCCAGGGCTCCCCGCATCTGCCCTCCTCTTCTGTCAAACTCCCGGGCAAAGCCCAAACGGGAAGAAGGCAGACAGTCCCCTCCGTGCTGTGCTTCCTGCAGCCTGCGGGGCGGGGCGGCTCCTGGACACTGCGAGTCCTCCACCGCTCCACCTCCCCATGCAGGTCGCTGGGTCCCGTCCCCCCCGGGTACCAGTCAGAAGTTCCCGATGAGTGTGACGGTGCTCCCGTTGGGGAAGGGGAGGGGAGACGGCGTCTGCGAATCACATTCCTGGAAGGATGCTCAGGAGCTGGGGCGTGTGGTCCCCGGGGGAGGGGCCTGGGTGCCTGCCCCGGGTGGTGGGGGGACCCTTTTTGTTCCCATGCGTATCACCGATCGTCAGCCACCAATCCAAGTGAACCAGGTTGGAACGGAAGCCTCTCCCTTTGCCTCCCTCCGTCCTCCTGCCGGTCCCCGCGGCCGCCCAGCCGTGCCCGTTCCGAGTCCTGTCCCCCGAGTACCGCGTCCTCTCCTCATTGTCGTCAGAAGGCGCACATTGGAAATGCCCCTCGTCCCTGCCCACCGCCACTGCTCACTCCTCGGGCCTTTGCCGACGTCTCCTTCTGTAAACGCCGGCAAACACCTTCTGCCATCACCACCCAAAAAGGCGGCGTGCCCCCTACGCCGTCCCGCACGGCGCTCCTCTCCACTTAGGAGCAGGCTGTGGAGACCTCCCCATCTCGGCACAGGAGCCCCCTCGGCTCTTTGTTTCTGGACAGCTGCACAGTCCCACGGTGCGGCCGGAACATGGTGCCGTCCCCTGGAGACGGACCCCTGGGTGCTTTCCCACCCTCTGCGGCTGTGAGCAGTGTGACAGCAGACAACCTTGGCCGTGTGTCGTCTGGCACGGGGGGGCCAGGCACACTCCGGGGACAGGGGAAGCGTCTGGAAGGCGGCACAGTGCCAAACGCCCCAGTGGTTGCTGCCCCTGCCTCCCCCCCTCCCCCACACATCGCCCCCAACCTTGCCAACGACAGTGTGTCAGCGAACTGGGCGGGGCGGTTCAAAACCAGACAGTAACCAACAGCACCCCAGTACCATTTTCGTGGGTTTTTTAGATTTTATTTATTTATTTTCAGAGAGGGAAGGGAAGGGAGGGAGACAGAGAGAGAGAAACATCCATGTGCAGTTGCTCGGGGTCATAGCCTGCAACCCAGGCATGTGCCCTGGCCGGGAATCAAACCTGCGACACTTTGTCATTTTTGTTTTAAGGTTTATTGGAACCCCCAAATGCATGGTATTTCCAAGTATCCTTCAGGAAAAAAACGGATCAAGTTTCATTTTAACTTGCGTTTCTCTCGTTACGAGAGACGCGAGAGGGTTT